CGCTCTGACAAAAACATAATTTTACTCTCCAAAAACGTGGAGTTCACATTTGCATCTCAAAATACATGGTCAACACAATTCACTGTTCACTCATGCTACCTCTCTGTTTTCATGTGAAAACATAGTCCGTTACATGCCCCACCCATCTGAAAAAATTTTGTGCAACAAAATTTTTGGCAAAAAATTATGTGCTGAGATAATGATAATGTCTCTTAGAAAATTTCAATCCCACATCTAATAATCAAATCAGTGTCACAACATTAACATTTCATCATTATGAAATACAGAGCCTTTTACTGTTAATATCACACATAATAGTGAATAATTTACCCTGGCAAAAAATTACAAAATCACCAATGACAACCTCTTAAAATCCTTATGTATGATAATGTGAAGTGACATTGACATCTTAATGAATAATAAACACTGCAAAATGAATGCAACAACCTTAAATTTTGCATTAGAAAATTTACAATTGGTTAAAATCTGATATTCATTTACAAAAATTGATATGTACAAGTGTCTTATCAAAAAAATGGTTGAATGTGTATTTTAATGCTCTTCATGCTCATTTTAACCTTAATGTTATTGTCTTATACAATCTTAAGAAAAAGTTGATGACAAAGAATGTAAACAATTTATACAATAGTTCTGTATTGACAATTACCATATTTGAAAAAAATTTTGTTCTTAACAGCTAATAATTGATTTATTAGAGAGTTTTATGCTAGGTTAGCTAACATGGAATGTTAAGTATTTCTCCGCACTGAAGAAAATAACAATTGTGATCTGTTACTATCTCTTTGTCTATCTCTTTCCATAAAATTGTTATTTGTAGTTGTGTAATGTTCTTCTTGAAACTTGTTTTCTCTGTCTTTGATTTCATTTTTGAATTTTCCAGCCTGTCTGTAGTGTTGATGAATATTACTTGAATTTAGTCTAAAAATGTGTTTTGTCCTGTCTGATTTTTGTTCTGTATATGTTTTATTAAGAAATCCTTTATTATGTTGTCTATGTATTGGATTCATGTTAAAATGTCTTCCTCTTCTCCCTTCTGTTATTAGATCCTTATTGTTATTGTTTAGTTCTTTTATATTGCCAATAATTAATGGACACACTGGGTTGTCCATAAGTACTGCCGTTACCTTTCCTGTCAACCATGGACAGTCTATGTCCACTACTGCTTTATAACATTCAATTTTTGTGTTATTTGCTAACATGACTGTGGTTTTTTCAGATATATGGTCTTTAGGGTCAATCAATTTTTTGTCAACTACTATTGTTGTACAACCTGTGTCTCTTAGACACTGAACAAGTTGGTTGTTTACATAAGAAGGAAAAAATTGTAAACTTCCTTCACTGTGACATGCGCTAGCTAAAGTTTCATGTGGTTTGGTGTTTTGCCTACTGTTAGTCTGATTGGAATTATATCTTTGATTTTTATATGGTTGTCTACTCCTATTTGCACTGTTGTATCTAATTGGACTACTGTTGGGTGATGTTCTCTGATAGTATTGTTGTGAATGTCCTAAATCTCTATGTAATTTCCTACACTCATATTTTTTGTGACCTGGAATGCCACAGTAGAAACATTTGTTGTTGTTTGAATAATTAGTAT